CTACATTATATCCCAGTGCTCTGTATACCTAACACCGCTCCGAAGCCAACTTGCACGAGGATATCGTCCGAGTTTGAACTCACACTCCCGGATAGTTAGCATATAACGTATGCGCAGTTAAATTAAAACATCTCGTCTACTCTCGAGAACGAGGGATAAACATATACAATACAAAAATTCTCACTGCATGAGAATAACAAACAATGTCAAGCCTAAGACATTAAATAAATCTCATAATCTCACTTTTTTTTTTTAATACACTATTTCTTACATATCACTCATAAAAACAATAATCCATGAGTCATGGCTGAGCATTAAGAATTTATCTAATGGGTTCCGAATTAATTTAATATCATATAACCATGAGTGTGATTACAATCATAAAATAAATCCATATAAAAACCATAAACATAGTAATTACACACTATCAAAATAATATAAAATCAATTATCACTAAAATCCATAAACCTTACTAACAACAATCAAAATAACTTAAAATCAATCTCATTCTTAAAACAAAAACCTTTTTTATCCAATAACCCACTAATCAAAATATTAAAATCAATCTATCATCTTTAGTAAACTACAAAATAAACTAACATCAAATAAATAAAATAAAAACCATGATTAAATATAATCAAAGAAGTGCTTTTATACTCACATATTTTTTTTAAAATCAAAAAAATTATTTGAAAAAACTAATAGACGCACCAAAAATAAAACCTAACCGAATTTTCTCTCCATTTCCTCTTTCTCACACAAGCTGCAGACCCGCACTTCTTCATTCTTTGATATATCCCTCACCTACACCATTCCGTACTCATCTCTTCCGTTCATTTGTCTAGCTCATCTCGTTAGTATATTCATGCTATCGCTTCTCTTTTTTTTCCAGCACAGGCATTGCGCCGCACCACCACAAGTCTAGATCCTCGGGCGCACAACGCCTACGGCTATCCTGCGGCACCTCCAAAACGACGTCGTTTGGGGGAAATTTCTAATTTAAAAAAAAAAAAGAGCAGAACCAGAGAGGAGAAGAGATTGAATTTCTTATTTCTCATAACAAATCAGAACTCTGAGGACCAAATCAAACCGCAAAAAAAGATGGTACAACTTATACAGCAAACAAATACATATATATATACATCACATAATGAACTTTCCATGAAGAATTAAACCCAATCCAATTGATGCTTTAATTTTGACGAGAAATGATCAGTTGAACAGACAGATAGATTGGCGTTCTCTCCTTTTCCTACGCTCTGCAACACCTCACCATCGCGGTTTGGGGGAGGAGAAAAAACAATAATAGAAACAGAGAAAAACCAGAGGAGGAGAAGAAGGAAGGAAGATGGAAGAAGAAGCAGAGAAAAAGAACCCAGCAAAGCGGTGCCGTCGCGAAGGGAGGGACTTCACCCCATCAGAGTCAATTCTCTCTCGTCTTAATCCAATTTTACATTTCTGTTGGAAAAATTCAAACTACCAATTTTTTTCGATTTTTAAACTTGTTCTAATTTTTTTCTTTCACAAGTTGATATTAAACTTGGTCGAATGATTAGAGAAGAAGAGTGAGGCAGAGAGATGAGTGGGGTGTGAGTCTTTTTGGCGTTTTTTTTTGCCGAGAGAGAGAACGGAGAGAGCCGGAGCGAGCTCTCAATGGTGAAGAGTGGAGGAAATGAACGAAACATCAAAAGGAACATTTCACTTTGCACTACATACATTAACATATATACCTATTTCTGATGAAATCTCTGCTTAATGGCCGTCAACACGAGATTGTCGTCAGCTGTCCTCTCTCTCTTACTTCCCTCTATTTCTGGGTTTGATTGTGTGTCCCCCTCCGTCTCGTTCTCTTCTTCCCCTCTGGTTTCTTTTTCTTTTTTTCTTTTTTTCTCTTTTTTGTTAAATTGAAATTTCTCCAAAAGACGGTCGTTTTGGAGGTGCCGCAGGAATGGCCGCCAGGATTGTGCCGCGGAGATCTGACTCCACCCACCACTCTCTTTTCTTTTCATTGTTTGCTGGATACTATAAGCTTTGTATATTATATCACCTAATAAGCTATTAGATATATATTCATATATATAATATTAAATATTATAATATATACTAAATATGAAATATAAGATTAAAAAATATTTATATATATGTAACACTGTCTTTTTTTTTAATATAACAACATAAATATTCAATATTTAGATTAATTATATATAATTAATAAACATTAAATTAATTAATTACCACTTAAATTCTCCATGTGACCACACAAGTATAAATAAAAAGCAAAAAAATAAAATAAGATAAATAAACATAATAATAATAAATAATATTAAAGAAATTAGAGTCGCTACAATGTTCCTACGATCCTAGTTTTATACTGAACATGTTGTATGGATGTCAATGGAGAACTTCTTTCCCAGATTTAACTTGATTTATCTTTCCTTTATAATATCCTTTATTACCAAAAAAAAACAAAAAAAATGATGAGTTGGAGAAAAACAAATGTTTCACTATTGTCTTTACTTAATTTCAATTATATAATAAAACAACTAAGGTTGTGAGTTTATAATTGATATTAATACAATTATTTCATTCCTCTTAGTTTATGTGTGGTTATATGGCCTTTGGAAGTGGGTTACTTTCACAAGTGATCTAATTGGTCTTGCTACTAGTATCTTGGATTAGAAGGATGTTTATGGGATGGGATTGTGGGTACATGTACTTAAACTAATAATTGCACCTAGTCCCTGCAAAATTAGCAAAACACATACATGATAATTATCGGGATTTACACACATTGCACAAGTTGGGTCCTTCTAGGCAATTTTTTTGTTTCATCCAAATTGAAACAATCCTTTTACAAATTATTAATTTAGGCATGTATCAAAATTATTGCCCCCTACTTATGAAAGTTTATTTATTATAAGCAATTTTGAGTTGACTTTCTTTGATCTTTGTTTGACTTTGTTTCAATTGTTATTTAGGTCGGTTTGAATTG